AGAAATGATCTTAGGTAGCGAGGATGCTCCCTGAGTCTCACCTTTGACATAGACGTTAGGTGGAATGAACCACAATGATTAAATCATGTAACTTGTAAAACGTAGGTCGATGCATGCTCATTTCCTATGAGTAGCTTTATGTTACTCACCCCTACGATACTGGGGCATATTTCAGGTACAGGATACAAGATTGGAGATTGCAATTGCTTGGGTGATTTGCTGAGTTGAGCTTCTTTAGAAACATTCTTGTTCACATGCAAGTGTTAGCATGTTCATGATTTGTCTATGAAATGTAATTTTTCTAACTTTGAGGTCTGACATGTCAAATGTTGTAAATGAGTTATAATAAGGCTATAGGCCATTGTAGCATGTTTAAAATACCATTTTACACTTGCGTGTATGTTCACATCATCACACAATAGCATATAATGCAATTTGATCATGCCATGGGGAGTCATTTTGATGCCTTAGGAATGACGTACATCTCTAGTGGCCACTTAGTTTCCTTCGTTTCTGCATTTCGGATCCGTTATCGGGTCATTCTTATGGTTCATCACAGGACACACTGGGTTGAAAAATCTAGGGTCGTCACACCTCCTGCATTAAAACATATCCCAGACCCTGCAAAGAAGCATTCGTATAGACAAGATACTCTATCCCACTCTGTGGTGTAGCTCGAACAGGTGCAGAAGTCAACTTACTCTTCAATGTGTCAAATGCAATCTAACAATGCTTATCCCACACAAACGGTACCCCATTCTTAGTCAAATGGGTGAGTGGTCCTGCTATCTTCGAAAACCCCTGAATGAATCTACGATAATATCCTGCCAGTCCCAGAAAGCTACGAATCTCAGTGGGTGAGGTAGGCTGTCCCCACTCTAAAACGGCTGAGACCTTGGCTGGATCTACCGCTATCCCTTTCTCGACACCACGTGACCCAAAAACTTCATTTCTTAATGCCAAAAGTTACACTTTTCAAACTTGGCATACAACTAATGCTCACGAAGTATCTGCAACACTATACGAAGATGTCTAGCATGGTCCCCTTCTGACTTAGAATAAACTAGAATATCATCGATGAAAACAATGACAAACTGATCTAAGTAAGCCCTGAAGACCATGTTCATCAAATCCATAAAGACAGCTGGCGCATTAGTCAATCCAAAAGGCATGACTCGAAATTCATAAGATCCATATCTAGTGAGAAATGTTGTCTTAGGAACATCCTGCTCCCTAACTCGAAGTTGATGATAACCAGATCGCAAATCAATCTTGGAGAAGTAAGTAGCTCCCTTCAACTGATCAAATAAGTCGTCGATCCTAGGCAAATGATACTTGTTATGAATAGTAACCTTGTTCAACTCCCTGTAATCTACACACAGGCGAAGTGAGCCATCTTTCTTCTTCACAAACAACACTGGTGCTCCCCAGGGTGAAGTACTTCTACGAATGAAACCCTGGCTGAGAAGTTGCTGAATTTGATCCTTCAGCTCTTGCATTTCCATCGATGCCATCCTATATGGTGCCCTATCAATCGGTGTAGTGCCTGAAGTTAGATCAATCACGAACTCTATCTCTCGATTCGGTGGCAACCATGGAATCTCTTGAAATACATCCTGAAATTCCTATACAATCGGTATACTATCCAGTGCTACAGTAATCTCCTCCCTAGACTCCTCCTCAATATACAATAAATGAGTGCTCGATCCCCTGTTAGAATGTGGCATAGCAATAATATACATATCCTGACCCGGTATAGCAAATACAATAGACTTATCGTGACAATTAACCTGAGCATGGTAATGAGATAACCAATCCATCCCAAGTATCACGTCATAAGAATGCATATCAAAAACCAATAGGTTAGCTATAAATCTAAGTCTACCAATATCCAGTGTCACAGGCTCATCACTCTCATACAAAATAGAAGTAACATTGATACGTGTACCAATACTACGGGATTGATCACATAACTGTGTAGTCATTCCAGATAAGGTAACAAATGAACTAGACACAAAGGAATGTGTAGCACCTGTATCAAACAAAACAAGCCCATATCTACCGTATATAGGAAACATACCCTCAATAGCCTGAGGAGTCTGAACGTTCTGTGGCATGTGGTTATACACCCTACCATAATGCAACTGTTGCGGTGCCTGCCCCTATGGTGGCGGTGGTGCTGGTAAAGCCAGGAACACCTGTCCCTGAATGCGTGGCACTTGTGGAGCAGGAAAGGGAAATGGTGGTCGCTGCCCCTACTGCACATGATGCCCCTGCATAGCCTTGGGACACCTCTTGGCTGTGTGTCCGAGCTCTCCACAACCTTAACAAAAACCTCTAAAAGGGCCAAATTATTTCTTGTGCTGGTTACCCTGAGGTTAACCCTGTACTATTTGTGGTGCCCCATTCTGCTGCCTCTGAATAGATGCCCCATCTCTCTGAGCATCTAAACCATTCTTGTGCTTTTTCCAAGGCTGTTGTCCCTGGAATCTGCCCTTATCATTCTGTCAGTGCCCGTTGCCATTCCTTTTCTTAGCTGGCTGATTGGCAGAGTCTCTGTCACCCCGCTTCTCACCCCTAGTCTGTCTGAAGTCCACATTTAACTGATAAAGCTATAAAGCGGCATCCACCACCTGAGCATAAGTAGTGTATGCTGGATTACTCGTAATAACTTACTTAATAGACCAGGTCAGCCCCTTAACAAAGCTAGTACGTTTCTTTGTCTCGGTATCCACCTCCTCTGGAGTAAATAGAGATAAGCGTGTGAACTATTACTCATACTCTGCTACTGTCATGTTCCCCTGATCTAAGTTAAGGAACTCCTTCTTCATAGCTGTTCTAATTGCATATGGAAAGTACTTCTCATTAAAGCGAGCACTAAACTGATCATAAGTTAATGAAGTCCTCTCCTCTACGGTGGTAACTGACTCCCACCACTGGAGTGCATCCCCAACAAGCTTGAAGGTAGCAAGCATCTGTTTCTGCATTTCTGTGCACTCAACCAGGCAAAGATGACGCTCTATGTCCTTCTTCCATTGATGAGCCATACTCACATCAGTGGAGCTTGAGAACTGAGGTGGGCTCCCCTTTGTGAAAGAACCCTTAGCCTTCTCCCAAGGACTAGCCTGAACTACCGGTACTGGCACAGGTGCCTGCTAAACCTGTGGCTGATTCTGCAGTGTAGTTGCTGCGCCTGCTCCAACAGCCCGAGCAATGATGTCAGCTAACTGAGGAGGGTACTCAAGATACCTGCCCTGATGTTCGTTCTAATCCCGAGACTCCTGATTCTGCTGCTGCTCCTCCTTATCCTCAAACCTAGGCAGATGTTGCTCCTCTGCAACCTGCTGACATCGCAGACAATCCTGTTATCTACGCGCCGCTCTCCTTTGCTGCCTTTCCCATCTTCTTCCAGCATTAACCATTGTCTGTTAACACGAAAGATAAACATTAGTATGATTTAAGTGGACCGTAAAGGAATTTAAGAATACACTACGCTGAAGTCTTATACGAAAGAACCCTAGGGACACTTAAACCTGGGGTGCTCTGATACCAACTGTGATACCCCCTAATTTCGGAATATGGGTTGATCAGGTCCGCGCATAAAATTAAGGGATATCAGCCATTCAATAATAGACAAGCACATAATACAAAAGAAATAATAATTAAATAAATACATAACGCTGAAAGGGAAATCTAAATTAATAATTAAATAATAGATCATCAATCTCAAATAAATTCTCATTATAAGAATAAAACCTCCAGAGTTCAACTTGGGAATCCATACAATGTGGACCCCTAAAAAAAATCCCAACTAAAGACGAAATAAATAAATGTCTAACTCAAAAATAATAAATAATAACGAGAACATAGTGGAGGTCCTATGTCTATGACACGGTAGAGTGATGAAGTTTGGCCTCTGCTATGCACGAACTGACTCTACGTCTGGAACTGTCGAGGATCTGAAAAGATAACAACAAAGGTGGGTCAAAACCTACGAATAGGCATTTTCTACTACATCCCAAACAGAGACCCGGTAACAATCCATCCTAGTCCGACTCATGCAATAGCTATGTAGGTCAATATACATAAGTATACATACTATAGACTCTCATTGGATCATAAGATAGCCTCAGCCGGATAGTAGATCTCATGCAAGCATACATAAGGTGGTCACGAGAACCTCTTCTACCAGGGCACACACATCCCTTAATCCAGCTACCCATCTCATCTGGCAATATACGCCAATCCTAACCATCGATCACGAGATCTCAAGCTCGTATCATGGTACCCAATAAAAATATATTTATGTAAGTAATTGTAGCCATATCCTGACAATGGCACAATTTAATGTCATAATCATATTCTGACAATGGTATGACAACACGTATGAGTCTCGACATATTAGTCAGCCCATATATATCAGCAAACCATATCCTAACAATGGCGCCGCTAAGACTATATCCTAACAATGGTCCTCCATAACGCACATATATACCAATATGTATAAGTATATAAAGTGATATAAGTATCATGGGAATGACTTGCAATACAAGTACACCCATTTTCTGTTACATGAACAATTAATAAAATAACATCCTATACAATAATTGCTAATACAATATAATAATTAATGGACATTAAATCAATAACATACATAAGTTATATATAAAACAACAACATACACATGCTACATTTAAAACAATACAACCAACCAACCAATCAAAAAAAAAAAAAAAAAAAACCACCTCTGTAAATTCTACTTAACTTTGTAACACACCCACAATAGAACAATTCCATAAATATACAATCTATATTAATATATTAACTGTAAGTATTTTTTTTTTTTTTTTTTCGATAATCTAAAATGAATAAGTTTGTACTCTTAGTTGTTGTTGTTATTTTTTTTATTTTTTTTTTTAAAATGAAATAACTACCATCATATTAACTAAATAATAATAAAATAAATTACTCTACTTTACTAAAAGGAACACACATAATAGATGGCGACACCGTCAATGGAAGAATCAATTGATTCTGCTAACAATAGTAGCTATAGATTGGTAAGGAAAAATAATATATATATATATATATATATATTTATTTATTTAAAGTGAAATATATATATTTGAAATGCCAACCAAACCATGATTTGGCCAGTCCCTATATGTAATTAAATGACTTTTTCATATAACAGGCCATTCCAGGAACAATATGTTGCAATTTCAAACAACTACATCAATAAATTCCACAATAGAAAAAAAATCAGCAAACACAAATACCGTCATATACATAAAATTCACACTGTAATGACCCGATTTATAACAGAACATGAAGAAAATTACAGAACATGAAACACGAACAACAACTAAATTCATGGCATAAAACAGAAGAAAATTATATCGCATTGACCCAATTAATTTATGCAATCACACAAATTTATTTCTTTGTAATTTAAACCCTACAATCATTCTAGAGATGGACTGAACATGAAGCCAAAAAGAATGAATAGAATAATGACTTGCCTTTTTTAAATTTCGAATTGCACTCCGATTTACCTTTTTTCTCTCTTCCTCCTTCTCTCTTCCTTCCTCTCTTTCTCTCTTTCTTTTCTCGCCACCGCTCACTGTTGTTTTCTTTTCTTCAATTTCGTGCACAGCCTCCCCACCAGACCATAAACCTATGTATATATATATATTCTAATATAACCTAATTCTATACTAACTCCATACTTCCGACCACACCATAACACACCTAATCCTCATAAAACTACACAGCCCACTCAATGCTACGATTGGCATTTAAAAGCTACCATTTCAATGAACTTTATAATATAAATATAAAGTTTAAATACTAATAACTAACCTTATTAAAAATCCTGTGCACATAAGTTTACCTTAACTTATATATTTTAACTTTTAATAATAAAACTAACATTCTAATTACCTTTAACATAACTGGGCATATATATATATATATATATATATACACTTTAAATAAGGATTTATGCGTTATATATTTATATATATATTTACCCATCCATACAACTAGCCAAAAATAAAAAATAAAACAAAATAACATTAATGGAAAAACAAAATTACAACTACCTAGAAAAATCCTACTAATTAATTCACATTTAAATAACAAATAAACAAGCACTCCACAAAAAAAATAATAATAATAATAAATCAATTAACCAAGTAGATAGAAATAAAATAAAATAAAACAAAGTAAACACCAAATAAATAGCTTTTAAATGATAAACAAATAAAACCCTAAAACAAACGCACAAACAATTTAAATAGCCACGTAGACAAATAAAATAAAACAAAATAGATAAATAAAACCTAGAAAAATTAGGGGTATTACACAAGTCCTCTATTCTATACTTCTCCTTTAAATCTGTGTTCTGTATGCCTTTAGTATAACTTTAGGATCTATTAAAGGATTAGTAAAATATGTATTCGTGTTTAAAATTGATCTAGAACATAGGTTTTTGTGGATATATGTTCATATTGTCTTTATTGAATGATTTTGTAAAATTGATGGCTAAAATCAGATTTAAGTTGATTTTTAGATGTTAAAGTGATGTAAATTCGTGCATAGATGTTTATGGGACTTAGTAACATACCTTAGGACCCTTAACAAGGAAGAACATGGCTGGAAATAGGAGTTCTTGAGCTATTTCTCGAAAAAGAGCTGGAGCACTCTATTACAACACTCGAGCGCTATATTCTAGTGAATAACGCTCAAGCGTTATATAGTATTTTTAGGCAAACGTATCCCGTTTGGCCCAGAATTGATTATTTAAGGTCCCGAACAATAAGTAGGGACTTAGGTACAGTGATATGTGAATTTAAGGCATGATGATATCGATGCATGTTTATGGGATTTATTCGATTATGAATTTCTAAATTTAATCTTATAAATTATTCTAACAGATGAGATTAAATGTTTAACATGAGATGACACTGTAGATCTTGTTATTTGCTAGATGAATAAATTATCAGCATACGTATATTCTTGATTTATGTTAAAATATCTGCTTGAAGGTTAAAATAACTTATAAGTTATTTTTATGATGTAATGAGCAGTTAATTGTTGTAATAAATGCAATACTTTATAATATGATAATAATCATGTGCGTAGTTGATTTATATGACCTTATACATAATCTATATATATGTGTAGATTGTTTAGGAACCATTGTTAGGATATGGTTCTATGTCATACCATTATTAAGATATGGATGACATGACATTGCTAGGATTTGACCATTTTATTTATTTGTTTCCTACCCATTGTTAGGATATGGGTACGGTTGTTATTGGTGCTCCATTGTTAGGATATGGTTAGCTTTATCTATAATAATATTATGTGTACCATGATATAAGCTTGAGGTCTTGTGATCAGTGGTTAAGATGGAGGCGTATTGTTGTCAGAGTTTTGGGATTGGCCAGGATGGTCCGATCGGACATATTTGGACCATATCTCAACTCTCACAAAATGTCTGGTTTCCGTGGTGCTTTTGGTAATGATCGTTTTGGACATTAATGTCATTTGTATTGATAGGTTTCACGGGTAAGCTAGTTGGGGGCCGGTGATGAATTAGGACTTTATACTATCATGCTACCGTACAAGTTGTGTGTGGTGGGCGAGTGCTAGTTTCCGTCGATGGTACCTTGCATTACCTAGCTAGTAATGTAAGTGTGGGCGGGTACTAGACAATGTCGATGCTACCGCACCTTGAGTACGTCGTGGGCGGGTTCTGGTCGTTGTTCGTACTGCCATGTCGCTCTTTTCTTTTGTCGTGTTTCAACATTTCGTTGTCTTGGGATTCTCTTGGTGGTTGACATTGAATTGACATGCTGATTCATTTGAGGAGTTATTTTCGGTTCGTGGTTTCGAGTTCCTTCAGTTGGATCTTGAGGCTTCTGGAGTTATTCTTTAGTTCTTTAAGATCCTTTCCTCGATGTGACCTTGTGTTCGGTCCTTATTTGGTTTTCCTCGATATGTTCCTAATTTCGGGAACGAAATTTCCTTAAGGAGGGTAGGTTGTAATGACTCGGTCATTTTACTTCATTTCCTTTTTCTGAAATTTTACGGATAAATTTTTTTCTGTTGAATCTTCTTTTCTGAGTTCGGTTACTCATCACTTAGTGTCATCTCGAGTGCTCAGAAATGGTTTCCGAGACTCTTTCCTTTGGATTGACAACTTCCTTTAATGACTAAGTCATTTCCGCTTTTTCTTTTTTTTTTGACACTATTCACTTTTCGTCTTTTTCCCGAGAATGATTTTCTTCGCGTAACCTCACTTTTTGTGCTCAGATTTGATTCCAATTTTGCATGTATCCATGATATTTAAATTATATGCTTTATGTATTTTTACTTTTCTAGAAAAGTATGCTAGTTGTTTACCTTTACGTAAAATGGCATGGATGCATAGTTTCTTAGGAAACATTATTTGTTCTTGGGATTTTTTCGAAATTATAAAAAATAATTATTTTTCTTTTTAGGGACCTTTTTGTAATTTATTTTGGAAGATATTTTCAAAAAGGACCTTTTTGTAATTATCGAAAAGTGTGACAAGTGTCACATTCTCATTGGTCCACTTGTAAACATCTCATTGGTTTACACTTAAAAGCCTTGGATGATGACATGTGGAGGGTAGAGATTCACCCACTTGTTGGCCTAGCATTGGTGCACTTGTTGGCTTGGATTGTTGAGAAGTGTAGGCATTAGATTAAGCCTAGAATGAACCATTAGATTAATGACAAGTGTAGGCTTCTAATTGAAGTCTAGCTTTTGTGTGTGTGAGGGGATGGTGCAAGACTAGATGTGTTTGCCTTCCATTGACCAAGTGAGTAGAGGAATACACAAAAGTGTTTTAATTAATTCATTTTACACATTAAACTTCTTCTTTGGCATATGGGAGTCTTATATATGCCATGGTCTATACCAAGCAAGACATCCGCTATATAATAGGGATAGTCAGTAGATATCAGTCCGAACTCGGACTTGATAACTAGTATGTTGTGAAAAATATCATAAAGTACCTTAGGAGAACCAATGATCTCATGCTCATTTATGGACGTAATGATGTGGTTCCAGTCAGGTATGATAGTTCTGTTTTCAAATCAGAAGTAGATATTATGAGGTTCATGACTTATGTATGTTCACTCAATGGAGGGGAAATCAATTAGTAGATTATTAAGCAGATTTTAACTGCTAACTCAAACCTGAAGGTGGAGTACATTACAGCCTTAAAGGCAGCAAAGGAAGCCTTTTGGTTTGATCTCACTGATTTAGAGGTTGTGGAGCATACTAGCCTGCCTATCGAGCTATATTGCGACAAAAGTGCAGAAGTAGTCCAAACCAATGACCGAAGGTTCCATATAGGAACAAGGTACACTGAGAGGAAAGTATCATGTCCTACATGATATTGTCTGGCAAGAAAATATGCTCATGGCTAGAACATTGCATTGGAACACAACTTTATTGATCCATTAACAAAGGTGTTATCGATCAATAGTTTTGATCATCACCAGGATAACATTGGAGTTAGATGCAATTTGAATTGGCTATGAAGGCAAGTGGGAGCTAATGTCTTAGCCGAGCGTGTGCATAAAATAATGCACAACACTTTAAGTTTGGAAATTAGTGTCAAATGGGCATCATACTTTAAATTTATAAATCGCTTAACACCTATACTATGTAGTATGAGTGAAAAGGGATCGTCCCAAGGGATTGAGGTGTCATACTAGGTTGAGGAATCAAAATTATGGTTAGTAGGTCAAGTGATCAAAATAGTGATTGGTTGGTTGAATTAAACTAGATGCAAATTAAACTAAAGTAAACAATAATGCAATAGAGAGAATAAAAGAGAGAGAGATCTTGGGGTTTAGAGATCACCACTAAGCATAGCTTTTCTACACCTTTAATGAATGATTAATGAGGGGAAGAACATGTATTGCAACAAAGTGTGTGTGTGTGTGGTTGTTTTAACAAGCATGGATAACAAATTAAGCATATATTGTCTGAACAACATGGTGGATAGCACAAC